AACAGGGGGTCCGCGACCCCTAGGGGGTCCACAGAGGTATTGCATGGGAGTCGCGAAAGTTTTGGTTGATTAGCCTTTTTTTTTATATATATATATATATATTCCCCTCCTCCCACGGAAATTCTTTCCACTAATTGAAATGTCTTTAAATACACATCAACATGAATTCAAAACACTGTAGTAAACAGATAAATGGAGGCAAACATTCAGCAACACACAGGAGCTCTTTCAAGCTGGGCACCATTTCATTCACAACACCTGTCCCATCAACCAGGAATCAGGAATACTTTAATAATCCCAGGGCGAAATGACTTTCCTTACATGACTTCATCTGTAACAGAGCGACTATAGGACCAGTTTGATAGAACACTTTTTAATACAATATATATAATTAGGGGGTCCTTGCTCCATCTCGCCATCAGTTTGGGGGTGCTTAGCCTGGAAAATGTTGAAGACACCTGCTCTAATACATGGGAACAATCTAGCAACTCCTTCATTTTCTTTTAAATTATTATTATTATCAAAGCACTTGAGTCCCACTGCAGAAAATTATAATTAGTAGATATATCATCACAATAAGCCATCACCTCAATCCTAACAATCCATCAGCAAGCTTACACTCAATGTTTAATTTCTATCCTTGCAGCTACAAGTTGCAAATAATTATATAGGTACCTGATGACAAATGTGCAAAAATCTAAACATATGGCAACACTTAAAGAGCAAGAAACAAACGACTGCCAGGACTTCATTTCAAGTCATTCACTCTGCACATTACATCCAAACCCTGTTTCTAGCATATCTTTCATTGACTCAGAAAAGAAAGCAAAACTTAAAAACAAGTATGTCTGAAAAAAGAAAAAAAAAGCAGGAATCTAAACCTGAGCTTAGATATCAAAGAAAAACAGAACCATAGTGCTGCAGACTTTGCTATTCTAATAGCCAGAATACATGAAAAATGAATGAACATACCTTCATCTCTCTATGACTCCTCTAGGTGACCAGTGTAAAGAATCCAAAGCTGCAAAAAAAAAAAGGGGGAGGATGGAGAAGCTGTTATGCATAACAGAAGCTGGCCAACTTCAGTCTAACACAACAAGATCATCTTATGATGACATCACTTCCATTGCTACACTGGTGGATGGTAAAAATAAAGAAATAAATAAAAGCCTGGGTGCAAAAACACCTCTTGTTGCTGTGTTTTAACAGATCTGTTGCTGGAGAATGAGAGCTGGGTGTGTTTAACATTAGTGAGCAGGCTGATCACTGCTGAAACTCCTTTATGTAATGCCTGCTCCACTGCTGCCAGTCAGTCAGACTCGGCTCTCCAGCTCCGAGGAGCACAAAGTAACTACTCGATGTGTAACATGGAAGCGGGTGACTTCCTCCCCTCCTCCCTGCACAGATAACACGGATAATGTGGCCGTTTAATGCTCGCTGAGAGCCTCCCGGTGCTCTGCCTCCACCGTCTGCACCGCACCGAGTCTAGCAGCAGCTCAGCAGAGAGGATGACGCCATTTCTGTAGCTGACAGCCGGACAGAAGAGGAGACCAGAGGCGCTGAACACTACAGATCATTTTTCTCCCTAAAAACACTGCTCGTTTTTGCTCCTCTTGTCTCCGTGCTGCTGTCCCCTACATAGTGCGCACAGCAACACCATTAAGCGACAATAACTCCACTAAAACAGCAACAAAACCTCTATAGAAACATGTCACGTCGTTTAACCGAGTGAAACTAAGTAAGAGGCGGATAAAAAACTCACTTTACCTGCTGTGAAAATGTCCCCTTCATCGACAGCAGCGACATTTTTTTGCTGACTGTTTGTGATTGAGCTGGCTTCTTCTGACAAAGAAACAAGTCGACGGAGAGGGGTTTGCAGCAAGGTCAATCCCCAGGAAGAAAACAACTCGCTTCAGTCTCGGTTCCTCCGACGGTTTATTTTTTATTTTTTTCTAATTGTTAAAAGCCAAGGTCGGCAGCCCCGCATTTCGATCCGACATCATCCCGCCCCTAAAACACACCGTTTAAACCCCGATCCCTCTCCACTTTGTCTGGTCACGCACACAATGCTGGGACTTCACCCTTTCGGATCGGGATCGCATCGGATCCGAGCAGCCAGCCCATCTGCTCCAACCTACACCGGGACAAGTCGATCGCGAGAAGCTAACGGCACCGACGGCACAAAAGAGCCCCGCGATAGCGCGGTTTGACCCGATAAACCCTAACGTTCGATCACTTGTCTACGACTTAGCCATTAAAGAACAAAAAAAGAGAAACACCTCCATGATTGTTTCTAGTAAATATCACTTTCTAACGTACGTGACAGGCGCTGCTCGCCTGAAGCCTCCCCGAGGATTCCTCCGCTCACTTCGGCTCCAGCTCCAGGAACACTGGAAACTATTCAACCTCAACCTTTCTCTGCACAACTTTTGTCATCAAGTTTCTTCCATTCATTTCGCCTCCCACTTGTAAAGTGCACGGCACGTCATTAGTTAACAAGTTAGCTACCGTCACGGTTGGTTTAGGATTGCATGCTAGTAAAAAAGGTTCAAAATAACGTCCGCTTTTGGCGAACAAAAGCAACACTTACCTTTGCTGTCAAGCTGAGGAACACGTCTGCTCTTCGACGGTGCTGTATTAGTAATCCATAGGGGCATTTATGTGGAAATAAAATGACAATTGTCCGTTGTGTCCCGGTAGATGTTGGATGTGGACTAGTAAAAGTGGTTTTCGCACGGAGCTGCTGTTTGCCTTGTTGAATAGCTGCTCTAACCTAGCTCTTTCTGTGCCTCCCGAGAATGATTGACGGATAGAATAGTCCCGCCTTCTCTCAAACAACGGCCTTCTCATTTGTTGAAACTGTAAACGGACACGCCTCTGTGAAACTTGATTGGTCGATGTGCAAAAAAAAAAGAACACAGTGAAGTGTTCGACGTAATCCTACTGGGTGATTGTCACAATACAGGGAGAAAAAAAATCGGAAAAAACTACAACTCCCAGGGCCCGAGTAATAGGTTTGCTTGATATATTAAACAGAATGTCCCGGCAGTGACAGACGCGTTCTTCGCACCACTTATTAGATAGTAAGGCGTTTTCACTGGGCAACACCCAAATATAATAGCAACACATATTAGATGTCGTTTCTTTCCCAGTCGGTTCTGCGCGTGCGCTGTAACGTGGCCGAAGGTTATATATAGAGCTCATCAAACTGGCTAGACTTGACTGTTCTCGGAACGGCTAGCACTGCCTAGCATAGCAAGAGTCGAAGTTGACACGGGCACTTGGAGCTAAAATGGTCTCAGTGTGAAAGTTATATGTACTGCCTAAAAGCGCCAGCGTGGAACCGTGAAGTTTTGTTCTGGAAAAGAAAAAAGAGTAATGGTAATCGGGGTCGTATCGACGCGTTTTTGTTAGCCCGCTTCCGCTAACTAATAAGGAGAGAGGCTAACCGGAATTCAGAGACGGCTGGTGAGCAGACTGATACTAAGGTGGGTGGGGTTTGGAAATGAAAACAGCATTTAATATAAATCGGTAAAATTATTCATGGATTAGCTGTAACATGGAGAAAGAAATAAAAGGTAGGGATTTTTTTTATCACTAAAATCTATAGATAAAATGTAATACTTAAAAGTGGTTTCTATGACAAAACTCATATTACAGTCTGTGTATGTGTATGCATATATATATATATATATAACCCATATCAACATAGTACAAGTATTACAAAATATCTTCCCAGATCTTGGAGAACAAGTTAGAAATTAAAATTTATTAGATTATGTTCAAACTAGTATATTCAGGCATGGTGGTTTTTATTAAGTTATTTCGTATATAGGCAAATGTTTTTAAAATTCTATCATTTAAAAATTTTTAGAAGCAGTGTAGTTTAAGCTAAAAGTGATCCTTTTCTATTAACCCTTCATAGGCACTCAGTGAATTACTTTGAAAATCAATGTTTCTAGCCAATAGTGTTATTGGAATCCAGGACAAGACCTTATTACCTTTGTAATATTCAAAGAATATGGATATTTTGATGGCAAAAAATGAATGACACTGTAATAACAAGAAACGCCAACTTCCTGAATATATTAAGAAAAATAACAAAAGTGCTTCTATAAGAAATTAATGAAAAACACTGAGAGTAAAAGAGGCATTAATTCTGAAACTGACACTTACATTTTTTTAGTTTATAAATCTAAATATAATTGTTAACTAGGCTTTTTAACTTTTTTGTTTTACTTTTTGACTTTTCACATTTTCTAACAACGTGATAACTTATTTTTCAACTTAATTTAACTAACAGTCATGTTTTTGGACTGTGGGAGGAAGCCGGAGTACCTGGAGAGAACCCACTGATGCACAAGGAGAACATACAAATTCCATGCAGAAAGACCCCAGGCCAGGAATCGAACCCGAACCTTGAACTTGATCTTTTTTTTTTTTCAACTTAATTTCCAGTAGGTAATATATCATTCAAGGGCTCAGCTAATTGGTCAAATGCCAAAATAAGACGTACAGCCATGTAGCTGTATCTTTGCTGAATGGCTGGATATACATCTTGTGCTTCTAAACCTCACTGAGTGACTGAGGGACTCCATTTGTAAGGGGTATGCAAGTAATCAAAAATGGTAACTTGCCTTATAAAGGGCTAAACTATAAAAATTGAACCTGTCAGCATACAGTAAGGCCATTCTACAATCTTTTTTTAACTTATATCTTTGGAACTTTATCAACTAAATTTTTACAGCGCTTTCTTATGCTCCAAGTTGTTTAAACTTTGGCCAATATGGCTAGATATCTGCTATATCATGAGGGGTATGTGCACTCATCAAATTTCCATAGATTTATGAAGAAAATGGTTATTTAATTTGAGCCATTCTGCGACAAAATCAAAACGAATCCAGTAGTCCAACTTAAAAAAAGTATGAGGATTTAAGAAGCATGAAGGTGCGTTGATTGGCATTTTGTAATGATTGGTAATAAATTATTTATTTGAGGTGAACTCATCCCCATACATGTGAGAAATCAATCTCTGCTGCTCAGCTCTGCTCTTAAACAGGATTTTACTTTTCAAAATGAATACAAATGAATTAAACAATGTATTATTCTACATTGGTCCTTAGAAACTGGTGTCCAACTCTTGTTAGAGAACCATGCAGCTGCATGTTTCCCCTCAGCAGATCTGAATCAAATAAATGGGTCATTACCAGGCGTCTGCAGAACGTGGTGATGCACTTGGGAAGTAATTTAGCCAATAATTCAACTGTATTGGAGAAGGATAGGCAGGTCCTGTTTTAAGACAAATGCATGGACAGGAAGACACATTACTACTTGGATTAAAAACAGAATAAGAGTGTCTATATTTGTTGCATACTTGCAGAATGATTCATCACATTTTAAATGAAAGTTTAGAGGATGCAATCATAACATTGACACAGAAATAATATGTTTTATTATCCATTTTTTGCTCCTAAATTAGAATTTGTTAGAGCTTTTACATTTGCTTCACCTGGCTGCATGAAATGAAGACTGCTCACTGCTGAGAGATAAAAAAAAATCAAGTCATCACAATTGGTTCAATATTTTTCTGCCTTATCATTGTGTTTTACTGTTTTTGTAATAGTAAAAATAATATTTTTAGCGAAAACAAACTTCTTAAAGGTGAGGGCATTCAATGCTTTTTAAGGTCAGTCTTCCCTCCTGCAGAAAAGGAAAAAAAAGTCCAGTTTGGAAATGTTGCTTTGCTATTTTATAGTGTTTATAAACGGTTAATATTTGGCATGGATTTAAAAAAAACAAACTATTTCACTGTTGAATCTTAGGCTAAAATGGCGGTTTTTGACTTTAAATTTACGGTTTGTGCACCTGCAGAGTAGAAACCAAGCAGTTTGTTGGCATGGGGAAAAAAGGTTGGCCACATTATGCAGGTGTTTAGGCATTATAGGTCAATCATAAACCTTTAGTGTGAACTCTCTTACACTTTTTTGGGACAAAAAAAAGAAAACTTTATCAAAAAACAAATATATTTGTGGCTAAAATGTTAGTTTTTGTGCCTAGAAACAAAGGATGATTAAAATGAACAGAGGTAAAAACCTGTTTGTGCATGAAACTGGCCATTTTCCTATATGTTAGTGTGAGAGTGTTAAACAAGATTAACAAAAAGAAGTCTTTCATATTATAATATCACCATTATTTCTTCAGAATGTCATCTAACCTACGCACTTTGGGGATAATGATGCTTGAAGACTGCTTCATCTGATTTACTGAATCACATTAAAATGCCACTAATCTCTCACCTCGACGAGTGGCGCTTATCTGGGGTTTAATGGCTCATTTTTCATAAAAGTATCATTTCAGTTATTAAACCACTGCTAGATTACAAAACATGAGGAGTTGTTTATTTTATTTTCTATTCCTTATGATCTAAACTGAATGTAAATGGAACTAATGAAATCATATGATATATTTTGAAGCAGGAAAAAAAAACTTTTCATGTTTTTTAATGGGTGAAAATATTTTTTGTGATTTGCTGATCATTACATTTAAAATTCTCCATCTACCAACATATCCATGTAAAGCATTAGTAATTAAAAATAATCAAATATTCTTATTGTTAAAAACGTTTTGATCCCAAACTCGCTCTTCATCTTTATTTATTTTGAGGCTGTTTAGACAGATGAATCATATGATACTGCAGCGCTAAAAATAAACACAGACATCACCCTCAGCAGTTCTTATTCCCTTTTCTTTGTCTTCCTTGTCTTTCAGTTTAAAGGAGAATCATCTGAGCACGATGGATGGTTCCTCTGAACCTGCTTCTGACCGAATTTTGCTAGAACCGTACAAGTACTTGTTGCAGCTGCCAGGTGGGTCCTTTCTTTTTTTTTCACTCTCTAGACAGTTTGGGAAAATGTGAAGATATTCAGTTAAAAATAGACCAAAAGCACTGTAGTCTGCTGAGGAGTCCTCTGCTGCCCCTTTGATTGTCACCCAGCTTGTGTTTTTTGTTTCTGTGGAATATCACATGACTAAATGCCTCATTTTTAACTCGCAGAAACAGTTGGTGCTAAAGCAGCTGGCATGGTGTGTTTTGATTTTGAAAGTGGCACGTTGCTGCCTCTGTGGGTGTCATCTAATGAATCATTTAACAATTTTTCTTTTACTTATTGGCTATGTTGTTATTTTTACAAGGTTATAATATCAGTTGCTTTAGATCTAGATTGGGAGTGTTGCTCTATAGGTTCTCACTGTCCTTATTGAAGCTTTAGCTTGATGCTCGTCAGACCCCCTTGTATCAAAAACACTCCGAAAATAAATCCAGGAGTCCTCTTCTTGATTTTAACGATTTACTTGAAAACTTAACGCAACATTACAGAATGCATAAAATGCATCCACTAAATTAAGTCCTTTAAAGTCTGACGGAGCCTTGGAAGAGTGAGGTAAAATAACTATTGAGCTCCAATCTCCTTCTGATTCCCACTGCCTTCGCTCACCTGGCATGAAGATAAACCACACCCCTTCCTGGGTTTTTTAAATGTCACAATAAAAGTCGTATCTTATTCACAATATCAATGAACTGAACATATAAAAATAGCATTTTTTAATCCTTTTAAATCCCTTTGAATCATTAAATCAAAAACAATATCTTACTTATGAATTTGCATATTTTTAAATAAAAGAAAAAAATAAATATTCCAACTCAAATAAGCTGCATTAAGGCTCCTACATGCTGTTTTTCTCCTATTTTGCTTCTGTCCAGGTAAATTAAACCCACAAACGTGTTAACTGACCTTTAAAAAAAAAAAAAAGATGACTTGTCATTTGGGGTGCAGCGATTTTTTTTATTTTTACTTTTTTTTTTTAATGTCAGTTGTTATAATATAAAAAAAAAAAACTTT